ACCCCAAGACTTTTCCTGGAACTGCTGCTCATAGGGCCTTACTCACTCCTGGCTGCATCTCTCTGTGGAGCCCTGATGAATGACACTGGAGAGCCCAAAGAAGCTTTAAGGCCTTCTGTCCCTTGTCCTGCCAAGGCTCCTTACCTTGTCAGAGGTGTTGGGGCCCAGGATGCTATTGGCCAGAGAGTATGGCTTCCTACTGTGACTTCTTTGGGTCAACTTAGAGCACACCAGTGTTCACCCTGGCTGAGGATACAGGTCTCAGAGAGGAGGCAGCAAAGAGACCTGCCCTGACCTGCCCAGGGGGAAGAAGGGTCACAGGACATGCACTTACTTCCTTTCAGTAGACATTGCCAAATAGTTTTTCAAAGTGGTTGTTGCTTCAGGTTCTTACTGTCCCAGTTAGCAACCCCAGAGGAAAGAGAAAATTTTCTTTCCCACCTGCTAAATATCAAGTTGCAGAAAGAAACTATGATAGATTTAGCTGGGGTCACATAGCCACCTGTTAAGCTCTTCAGTTCCTATGGTCAGGCAGAAGGTTCAGTAGGTTTGGCCATGCACTCATTCATGTAGAAGGCTGAAGGAACTGTTTCTTCAAGAAAGGTGACTGCCAGACAGACTCAGACAAAATGGACACACTTAGAGTAGTCTTTATATGAAACTGGATAGTTGAGGAAGAGTTCTTCAGCCAGATAGCCCAGAAACAGAGGACCTGAGGAGAGGCACAAGCACGTGAAAGTGCATCCTGGGTTTGTATTGTAGGAACAAAGCTACACAAAATGATTGAATGTGTGTCCATAAAACAATGTGCAAACAATTGTTACTGCCAAACATTGGAAGCAGCCAAAATGTCCTTTAGTGTGTAAATGGATAAGCTATGGTATGTCCATACAATGGAATATTATTCAGCAGTTAAAAGCAATGAGCCATCTAGCCATACAAAGACACAAAGGAACCTTGAATTCATCTTGCTAAGTGAAAGGAGCCGATCTGAAAGGACTACCTACTGTATGAGTCCCACTAACATCCTGACATTCTAGAAAAGACATAACTGTGGAAACAGTGAAAAGATCATGGTTACCAGGAGTTCAGGGCTGGTGTACGAGCACCAGGGATATTTGAGGCCTGTGAATCTGTTCTGTGTGCCACTGTAATGGCAGATATATGACACTCATTGAACTTTCCAGCACATGGAGTGAACATTAATGTATGCAAATCTTAAGAAATCATTAGGAGGATGGGGGAGTAATCCCCTGATGGAAATCAAAATGTAACAAAACAGTGTAACTTCAAATATATAAAACATTCTCACTGAAGGGGGTGGAGGAAAGATAAAAACCAAGGACCTTTGCAAACAAGTGGAGTCTGGAAAACTAAGACAAAGGCACTGCATCTAAGTACTGACTCCAGTTAGTAGAGTTCCCAGGGAGATTGGGTCAGCAGTGCTGACACTGCCATCGGGGAGACTGGAAATGAGCAATTGGAAAGTGTGCGATGGATGAGGGGAGCCAGACTTCTCAGGTTGGGGGGGGGGGGGGGTAAAGAACAGCAAGGGACGGGGGCCACTGGAGAGCCCAAAGAAGCTTTAAGGCCTTCTGTCCCTTGTCCTGCCAAGGCTCCTTACCTTGTCAGAGGTGTTGGGGCCCAGGATGCTATTGGCCAGAGAGTATGGCTTCCTACTGTGACTTCTTTGGGTCAACTTAGAGCACACCAGTGTTCACCCTGGCTGAGGATACAGGTCTCAGAGAGGAGGCAGCAAAGAGACCTGCCCTGACCTGCCCAGGGGGAAGAAGGGTCACAGGACATGCACTTACTTCCTTTCAGTAGACATTGCCAAATAGTTTTTCAAAGTGGTTGTTGCTTCAGGTTCTTACTGTCCCAGTTAGCAACCCCAGAGGAAAGAGAAAATTTTCTTTCCCACCTGCTAAATATCAAGTTGCAGAAAGAAACTATGATAGATTTAGCTGGGGTCACATAGCCACCTGTTAAGCTCTTCAGTTCCTATGGTCAGGCAGAAGGTTCAGTAGGTTTGGCCATGCACTCATTCATGTAGAAGGCTGAAGGAACTGTTTCTTCAAGAAAGGTGACTGCCAGACAGACTCAGACAAAATGGACACACTTAGAGTAGTCTTTATATGAAACTGGATAGTTGAGGAAGAGTTCTTCAGCCAGATAGCCCAGAAACAGAGGACCTGAGGAGAGGCACAAGCACGTGAAAGTGCATCCTGGGTTTGTATTGTAGGAACAAAGCTACACAAAATGATTGAATGTGTGTCCATAAAACAATGTGCAAACAATTGTTACTGCCAAACATTGGAAGCAGCCAAAATGTCCTTTAGTGTGTAAATGGATAAGCTATGGTATGTCCATACAATGGAATATTATTCAGCAGTTAAAAGCAATGAGCCATCTAGCCATACAAAGACACAAAGGAACCTTGAATTCATCTTGCTAAGTGAAAGGAGCCGATCTGAAAGGACTACCTACTGTATGAGTCCCACTAACATCCTGACATTCTAGAAAAGACATAACTGTGGAAACAGTGAAAAGATCATGGTTACCAGGAGTTCAGGGCTGGTGTACGAGCACCAGGGATATTTGAGGCCTGTGAATCTGTTCTGTGTGCCACTGTAATGGCAGATATATGACACTCATTGAACTTTCCAGCACATGGAGTGAACATTAATGTATGCAAATCTTAAGAAATCATTAGGAGGATGGGGGAGTAATCCCCTGATGGAAATCAAAATGTAACAAAACAGTGTAACTTCAAATATATAAAACATTCTCACTGAAGGGGGTGGAGGAAAGATAAAAACCAAGGACCTTTGCAAACAAGTGGAGTCTGGAAAACTAAGACAAAGGCACTGCATCTAAGTACTGACTCCAGTTAGTAGAGTTCCCAGGGAGATTGGGTCAGCAGTGCTGACACTGCCATCGGGGAGACTGGAAATGAGCAATTGGAAAGTGTGCGATGGATGAGGGGAGCCAGACTTCTCAGGTTGGGGGGGGGGGAGGTTACAGATCAGCAAGGGAAGGAGGCTGGAAGATCCATGTGATCATGGATCAGAGTTGGAGATGATAATATGAACACATGCTTGGCTTGAGAGAGACACAGAGGCTATATTTCAGGGTCCAAAGTGTGCTGGTGGGCGTGCTGAGTTTCTCCCCATTTATTAACGTTTATGCCTAACAGTAACTCTCTAGGGTGAGTAAAAGTATGACCCCTTTATTGATGAGGGAACAGAGATACAGAGAACAGTCACAGAGATACCTATGTACACAGGTTCCTGTCCATCATGTATTTCCTTGCTCCATCATCAGAAGGGCTGAGAAGCAACAGCACCTTAGTAGTGATGAAAGCACCTCACACCACATCTTGGATCCTAAATACCATTCTCCAGTGCTCCTTGCCCCAGACCTAGAAACAGCTCCTTCTAGGTCTGGGACAAGAAATATACAGCATGAGCCTACAGTCTTCTAGTGCCAGAAAGCAAGGGAGTGCTTAAAACAAACAAAGCAAAGACCTCACATTGGTTGGCATTTGTCAAAATGACATGAGGGCCAATAGAAAGAGTTCCTAGTAGCCAAAGTTAGAATTATTTAAGCAACAAAATTAAGCAGCTTGCATTATAATCCTAAGTATAAAATAAGTATGCCTAAGTCAATGCTAATACAGATAAGTGAACAAATAAATAAATGGAAGGAAAGAGACAACTGGCCAGTTCAGAGAAATTCTAGATGATAAGTGTAGGTGCTCTGCCCTCGAGGAGGTGGACCATAGCCCCTGCCACTTACATGTGGGCTGCACGTGGTGACTTCTCTCCAAAGAGCATGGTGTGAAAAGGGAAGAAAGAAGTCACTTTACCGTAGAGAAACCCGACAAGCGCAACCTCAGCCAGATGATCAAGGTCACCCTACTAGTGATGAACCATGGCCTGTAGCCTGGATTTTTGATATGATGGGGTGAGAAGGGTACATTTTCTTTGTCTCCTGAAACCTGCATCCCAAGCCTACTCATGAGAAAACACCAAACAGTCTGTAAAATTCCTTATGCAGTCCTTCCCAAAGCTATCAACAATGAGGAAAGTCTGAGAAACTGTTCTAGCTAAGAAAGGCTGGAGGAGACATAACTAAATGTAATGTGAGGTCCTAGATGAGCTCCTGGAACTCCTTTTGCCATAAGGTAAAAGTTAAAGAAATATGAAGAAAGTGTGGACATTAGTTTGTACAGTATCAGCATTGGTTCATTGATTATGACAAACACACCACACTAACCTAAGACGTCCACGGTGGGGAAGCAACGTGAGGTCCATGGGGACTCTCTTTACTGTCTTCACAGTTCTTCCCTACATCTAAAGCCATCCTAAATAATAAAGCTGTCTTTTTTAAATATGTTTTGTGTAATCCCTGGGCCCTCCTCTTATAGACTTTTGGGATAGAGGACAGATGGGGGCCCTCTCAGGTCCACAGCCTGGGAGAGAAGAGCCCAGTCATTTGAATATTTGTCAGCAGAGTAGGAAGATGTGGCCCTCTTTAGAAGACGTGCATCACAGTTTGTATTTGAATCTGGTGTTTCCGAAGACTAAGAAAGGGATTTATGTGTGTCGAGTACCTGCAGTGTCCAAGCTGTGCTGGTGGGCGTGTTGGGTTCCTCTCCATTTATTAATGTTTATGCCTAACAGTAACTCTTTAGGGTGAGTAACAGTATGATCCCTTTATTGATAAGAGAACAGAACAGAGAGATGCAGTGACTAGCCTGAGCCACACAGCCTTTACAAGATTGGGCTGTGGCTCAGCCCAGCTATGCAGCTCCCCAGTGCTGGACTTCATCCCTCTCAGCAGAACGCACATCTGCTGTGGGAAGTTTCTTGGCTCAATTGCACTGTGTCCAGTGGTAAACACCTTGCTGGTCTGTGAGCAGCTTGCTTCTTCCATTGTGATTACAGGAGGTTTGGTCTAGCCCATGGTGACCCTGGTGCCGCATGTGTTTTCTGCAGGGTGACTATGACCAGAGCCGAACCAAAGTGCTACACATGAGCCTAAACCCCACCAGCGTGGCCAAGCAGCGCCTGCGTGAGGACCGGGACCGGCTGCAGGAGGAGTGCGCGCGCTTGCAGGAACTTGTGCGCGCCCTGGAGAGAGGAGGCCCTGTGCCCGCTGAGCTCGAGGCAGCTGCCTGTCTGCCGTCATCTAAGGAAGTGGCAGGTAGGCCCTCTGCCCTGTCCCCTGACACTCAGTGGCAGGTCTGTCTGCAAGGACTGCCCGTCTGTTGTCCTCATGTGCAGGCTGCACAGTGGCAGCACCTGAGTGGGTCCATTCTCCCTGGCAGCAGCTGGCTGCGTGGATGGCTGGGACAGAACATCCAGGCCCCACAACCCACAGAGATGCCATTTTCCCATGGGGCTGTGCAAACAGGTTTAGTCTTCTGAGGCTGCTAGCGGCAGGAAATAACTCAGGCAGCTGTGGAGAAACAAGTGGCTGAAACCTCCTCAGACCCCCTAAACAAATTAATACCATTTATCAGTTTATATGTGCCCATTAATCATGAGTAAATCCAATACTCCATGAAAACAGGAGCCATCTTTCACTGGACTAAGTACACTTCACAGAGCCCAGAGAGCCCTTTGCAGCAAAGACCTGCCACGTCTCAGGAAAGAGCAAGGCCATGCCGAGAAGGCAGCCCTTCTCGCCCACATTCTCCAGGTCTGTAAATCAGGGTAACAACCTTTGGAACATGCACTTGTCACCTCCAATGTGTGTTCACTCCAAGCCTCAGAGAGCTTTGCGGTCAACCTAGCAGTGTCCACTCTGCAGCTGCAGAGAGAACTGTAGGAGCCCAGAAGCACTGTGTGAAGACAGGGCCCATGGGGGAACCCATGAAGCCCCTGTCTGCTGTTGGGGGTTATTCAGCACTGCCCCATCCTTTGGGCCTTGGGATAGCCTGGAAGGGCCCTTCCCCACTCCCCACCATCCTTCTGCAGTAGCCCGGAGCATATTCCTGATGTCCCTTTAGCTTGTGCATCTGGTGACCACTCCCGTTCCTCACCCTTGGGGATATTTGCAGGAACAACTGCTTTGGGGTGCCGGCTGTAGACTGCAGTTTTCCTGACATTTGCAGCTTGTTTTTGTCCCTGAGTTGCTTTTCATCGTAGAAGCTCTTTCCATCCCATTTCCTCTCCATGGATGTGTCATCTCAGCCTGTGAAGTAGCACAGTGTTTTCCTGCGAGAATCTTCCAGCCCAGAAGGGTGTGGAGTGGTTGCCCTGGTCTCCTGTGGTGGGACTGGGAATGTGTCAGCATCTCAGGTGGAGCCCTGCTTTCCTTCTCCTGAACACTGAAGACCGTGTCTCAGCCCTCGGGGATTGTGGTTCACAGCCCTGTAAGACCGCATGGTAGAGAGCAGTCCACACCCACTGCCAGGCACACAGGAGGCCTCAGGGTACAGTGAGGTGTGAGCTTGGGGGCCATGAGATCAGCTGGGCCTGGTTCAAGGAGCCAGCTGCACCCTCACTTCTACTGCAGCCCCAAAGCCTCCCCATCTCACCTATCAACGGGGGCCATAGTAGTATAGGAGGTAATGCTCCAAGCTGCTCACATGGAGCCTGGTCCACAGTAGGCACTCAGTGACAGGTCTTGTTGGTATTTTTATTGTCCTTAGTCTTGTTCCTGGGCTCCTGTTACTTGTTAGCATATAGTGGTCTGTAGGACCCCCATAGGCTTATGTATCCTCTTCTGGCATTTCTCTGGTCCATCAGTGTCCTTTATGAACCTGGGGTTCATTCACCATCATGGGGGTCTACCTATGACTTGGACAGTATGGAATCTCATGGGACTCTGCATCTCTCAGCATTTTCTAGGACTGCATCTGCTCACATGTTTGCTGTCCTGTTATCTCATATTCAGCTTGAGAGCAGTGAACTTACACACACACCTTCCACACCTCACTCGGCCTCCCCATCTTAACATTTCAGAATTAATTTTTTGGATCTCTCTGTGGGAACTTACACTGACCCTTATTAAATCCTGTCCCATTTTCTGTAGATAGAGCATTGAGACACATTAAGAAATGTGACAGAACCAGGCCTGGAACAGAGCACTCTGGTTTCCTAGACCGGTCTCTCTTCCCTGGGTGGAGCAGAGACAGTAACGCAGCATGAGGCCCCACCAGAGCATAGTACCCCAACATCCCCACCCTCCCAGGAGCTGCTTTGCTCCCCTCACCGTCCTGGTGGTCCTTACTCGTCGAGAGTCCCTCCGTCTCGCTCTCTTCAGTTCTCATTAGCATCAGCTGCCCAAGACCATTGGGCAGCTGCCAAGTGGAGAGTGAATACTGGAACACTGGACATTAGCACAGATAGGCCTTCCCAGAGCATCCATTCCTGGGCAGCAGATAGATCCCCCTTTGCCAAGCTGACAGGCTGTCCTGCTGTCCCATGAGTTGGTACAGGGCTCTCAGGGCAGGCTCAGTAACACCATATGCCACACACAGGTTTTGTGGCCGGCTAGCCAAGTGTTCTGCCCTCCTCAGTGGGAACCCAGGCAGGAAACAAAGTCAAGAGAATGAGAGGTGCCTCTCTGCAAGGTCACTTGCAATCCGGTGGCTGTCCCAGCTCTTCCACAACCACCAGGGCCTGTCCTGTCTTCCCTGTGGTTGTAAAGGCCTGAATCCTTCTTTCCTCTCATCCCCCTTTCCTGCCATGTTCCCTCTCGTCTGTGCTGTGCTTATGTCCTGGCAAATTCGAGAGCTGAGAACGCAAACCTGGAGCATTTTTAGGTAGATCTTTGCAGAAGGATTCTGGGAAGCATTCCCATACAGTCATCTGATTATTTAGTCATATCTTTGTTTATTCATTTATCCAATAAAACTTGTCAAGCTCCTACCAGCCAGACTCTGTTCTCTGTCCTGGGCACACAGGCATCTGAGATCTAGCTTTGGTCTGTTCTCTGGTCTCTGGGAGCTGAAATTCCAGGATCCATCTCAGGTATTCAAGGCCTTCCCCATCACTCTGAGAGGGATATTGAGAGGCTTCTCCAAAATGGGAATACATCATGTTTGTCTGAGAGACAGGGGAGGTGAGTGTGAGCAGAGGCTAAGCCTGGACAGGGCAGCACTGTGGCAAAACTTGGATGGAAGTGAGGATAGAAAGGAGGTAGACAGGAGACCAAGCATCTAGGCCCCAGTGGCCGATCGAACTTATGTACCTGCTGTACTTCCTCCCCTGAAGCCCCTTGAATCACAGTAAGGTGTCACATTTTGGTGTTAGTTTTCTTAAGGTTTAAACCCACAGAGAAAGAGAATACGAGACCAAACTTTTGAAATCTGCAAAGTAGGTTGGATGAATGGTTAATGACTAAGCAGACTAAGGAAGATGGAATTCTGAGCTGGCAGTGAATAGAGCCAAGAAGCAGCCTGGTTTATGCCATGATACTCCAAAACAGCCCAGGAACTGGCAGTGAGGGACACTGCAGGAGGCAGGCAACTGGCTAAAATAAGGAGGATTAAGGATGTTTAATTGAGAGTTGAATTAAGAGACAGAGCCCTAGACCTTCCATCCAACTGTATGCAGTGGGTAGTTGCCGCTCCCTGAGGAAAGATTAAAAAATTAAAAAATAAAAGGCCAATGGTCCATTGTCCTGGAGCTGGAATCCCAGTCTCCATCTCAGACTTGTCTGTGATAACAAGGCCTGGGCGCTGAGGCACTTTGAACCACTGTTCTGGGAAGGGAATGCAGACGGTCTCAGGACAGGTTCAAGCAGGCAAGAGACTGGACAACCACAGAGGTATGAGGCAGACAGACCCTAAGCTGCCCCAGGCCTCTCTCTCAGTCACCCTCTAACTCTGGCCACAGATGTGACCCTACAGATGGGAGATGGGAAGACTCATCCCGAGAGAGTGTGACCAACCCAGGAAGGTGCTGACATTGACATTCTGCAGCTAAATAGCTCAGCCAAGTCTCTGCATGGCAAAACCTACAGTCTGACAAGCTTTATTCTCTTGTTCAGAGATTCCTATGTGCTTTGTAACACCCACTCCTAATTATGAATAGATAACCAAGGGTTATCAGACATCTGAGAGAAAAAAGCCTCCAATGTGGAAAATATAGAGCAAGGGAACAAGTAGAAAAATGGAACTTGGAGGGAGCAGTTCATCAGAGCAGAGAAAAGGCTTCCAAAATGTGTATCACGGATATCCTCAGAGAGAGAAGAAAGCACTTTAAACAACACAACAAGAACAAGATTCCTTAAAAATGTTTTCAAAGAGAAAAACATGAACTCTGAGAAGTTAAAAATATCAAGTATTAGGTGAAAGTCTAAAGATTTATGTGATAAAAATTGAGAAAGTTTATCTGAAAGTAGAATAAAAAGACAACAAGATGGGAAACAGGAGAAAAAAGGCAAGAAAATTGGAGAAACAGTCAGAGCTGAGTAATAGGATCTCCACATGGAGAGAACAGGGAAAACAAGAGATCATAAATGAAATATTTTAAGAACATTTCCCAGAATAGAAAGAGCGGACTTTCTGCATTGTGGAAGATACTCTGAAGATTCTTTCCATGGATGAAAATAGCCCCACACAGTTAAACTCTGTGCGCAGGGAGCCAGATCCCACATGACTGACCCCGGTCTGTTTGTTTGTTTTTAATTAATTAGAAGATACGGGGGTGGGGGGTCCATGAGAAGGAACCCCTCCAGGGTAGATAGCCATGCCACAATCCTTTCTCCTCTATCCTCTCAAGATTTTAGGCATGTATACATGCTCAGTATATTTTTCAGGTTCCTGGGTCTGGGACTCAAACAGTGCAGTCCGCCATGTGGGATCTAGCCATCTAACCATCACGCCATTGGCTGACCCTGACTGCACTTTGAACCTCAGTTTCTTGAAAAACACTCTGGATGCTTACTTGTGCCCAAAATTCTGATTGGATGGAGAAGTGGAGGAAAAGAATTACAGCGTAACTATGCCCCATTGAGGGGTACTTTCTCTACACACACACACACACACACACACACACACACACACACACACACACACCCTCTGACAATAATAAAAGAGAAGGAACGAGAAAATAGACCCACACAAATGTGCATCATCATGAAAATTCAGAATATCAGAGAAGACCCTGTAAACTGCCAGAGATGGGAAAAAATGATCACTGTCAAAAAGTCAGGGATCAGAATCACTTCCAGCTTGTCAGCAGCAACAC